AAATATACAACAGAGAAAAGAAAACATCTTCAATAAATGGTTCTGGGCAATTGGGAAGCCACCATAAGAGAATGAAACTAGGCTGCTATCTGTCACCATACACCAAAATTAATTTGAGGTGGATCAAAGACTTAAATATAAGAACTGAAACAATAAATTGTATAGAAGAAAACATAGGTACTAAACTCATAGACCTTGGACTTAAAGAGTTTTATGAATTTGACCTCAAAGGCATGGGAAGTAAAAGCAAAAATAAATGAATGGGACTACATCAAACTAAAAAGCTTCTGCTCAGCAAAAGAAATCGTAACAATGTAAAGAGACAACCATCTGAATGGGAAAATATATTTGCAAGCAATGCCTCCAATAAGGGCCTAATATCCAAAATATACAAAGAACTCATACAACTCCACAACAACTAATAAACCAACGATTGAATCAAAAAATGAGCAGAGGGCCTGAACAGACACTTCACCCTAGAGGATATACAAATATCCAACAAACATGTGAAAAGATGCTCAATATCACTAGCTATTAGGGAAATGCAAATCAAAACCACAATGAAATAAAATCTTGTGGGACTGCAAATTGGTACAGCCACTATGGAAAACAGTATGGAGATTCCTCAAAAAACTAAGAATTAATCTACCATATGATTCAGCAATCTGTCTGCTGGGTATTTACCCCAAAGACCTGAAAACTCATATCCGAAAAGTTATTTGCACACCAATGTTCATAGCAGCATTATTCATGGTGGCTAGGACATGGAAGCAACCAAAGTGTCCTGTGATAGATGACTGGATAAAGAATCTGTGGTACATATATACAATGGACTATTACTCAGCCAAAAGAAGAGATGAAATACAGCTATTTGCGACAACATGGATAGACCTCGAGATAATCATGCTAAGCGAAATAAGTCAGACAAAAAGGATTGAGAACCGTATGATTTTACTCATATGTGGTATATAAACCTGAAAGCAATAAACAAGACAAAGAAACAAACAAAAACTCACTGACAGAGAATTGCATGGTGGTTACCAGAGGGAAGCAGGGGATTGGGGGAAGTAGTTGTGGGTAGAGAGTATCAAATATTTGGTGGCGGACAATTTGACTTTGGATGGTGACCATACAATGCAATATACAGATGATGTATTATTGAATTGTACACTTTGAAACCTCTATAATTTAATTATCCAATGTCACACAAATTAAGTTAATAAAAAAAATCTTCATCAACATAAAGAAAGAGATAAGCAGGTCACCCAGTTGGAAAGAAGTTGAGGTAACTTCCCAATTGGAGATACTAAGCTGAGTTTTGAAGGGTAAGCCAGAATTAGCAAGAGAGAAGGACAGGCCTGAGCAAAAGCTCATAATGTAGAAGCCCATGCTGGATTGACAAGTGAGTTAATATCCAGGATGCCCTAAGTGTTCAACACCTGGAGGGCCTGGGAAGAGTACTTGTCTGTCACAGGAAACTGGGGCCCTTTTCATGGAGAACTTTGAAGAATACATCATATTGTAGAGGACTGATTCTGAACACCCTGGGTTTCCAAGGAAAATTCCCAAGGAGGATGGTGGACATATTTCTTCATCTGTGGCCCTTTGAGAAAACAACCCTAGAGCAAAATTGATTGGCCAGCCACATTTCAGTGGCAGGAGTTCATTATAATGTAAAATATGAGAAACTTAAACTAAGGTTGTGGAATTGGGAATAAAAGAAAAACGCAGTAAAGAGATATGAGACATTGGAGAAGTAGGTCTGAAGTTTGAGTTAAAAAAAGCAAAAAGCTGTCCAAGACTCATTTGGGTGGGCCACAGTGATGAAAAATAATTCAAAGGGAAGTTAAAACATTATCTTGGGCACCACAAGTAGTACTTATAAACTTTCATGGCCATAGAGAGATAATGCTGTTTTTTTAGAATTCACAGACTGCTTCTGAGTTGAGCTTGGATTTTTCACCTCCTGCCTCAATCCCTAAACTGGGTTTGATATAAGCTGTGAGGATTTAGCTAGGGAGACTGTCATTAGGTGCCAGGTTTGAATCAGGGAAAGCAGCTTCCTAACAGGAAGGTCTTAACATTTTTTTACTTTGCTTTTCTTGTCAATGATTAGTTAAATGTAACTAATGTAAATTATAACATATATTTGCATTTATCTTCAAGAACTAATATGGAGCCAGATATAGTACCATAATTTGCCATTTTGCAACAACACCAGAGGGGCAGGGGCCCTGATGTATTCTTTTGATCACCAATGGCTACTGGACACCCCTGTGTGCCAGGGAGTAAACTGGCATTGGGAAACCATCAGTGACCAAAACCATCATTGTCCCTGTCTTTATTTCTAGTGAGTAGGATAGATACAAAGCATGTGTGAGGGTTTCAGACAATGTCCCCATTTCCTTCTTAATTTCAAGATTAAAATAAAAGGAATATCCTTGCTATTATAATTATGTCCATAAGTTCATTCAGAAGAGAGGCTGGTTATCCAGATAGAAAGTAAGCAGAGCAAGCTGCCCAGACAATTGCAAAGCTGATATTTAAAAGAGCAGAGTGATTTTAATCTTCCACAATGAAAATATTTTTCCTATTTTAGCTTTTGTTCTAATATATTTTCTTTAGATTTTACACCATCTAATTGAATGTAAGATTGAAATAGTTATATATTCATGATGAATCACATAATTATGAAATGACCCTTTCAATCCCAATTAATGCTTTTTGGTTTAGTCCTTTTAGTCTGATATTAATATAACTGACCTTGCTATATTTTGATTAGCATGTGCCTAGAAAATTTTCTTCCATTCCTTTATTCCAAATATTTCTGTATAATTATTATTTGCTAGGTTTGGCATAAACAGCATATGGCTAGACTTCTTAATTTTCATCCAGAATGACCATCTTTAACTTTAACTGGAGGATTTACTCCATTAACAATTTTTATTACTGATTATGTAATAAAATATGAACTTATCCTACAGTCTTACATTGTGCTATATTTTCTGCCCTTCCTATAAAATTTTTCTACGTTCTTGACTTTTAAAATGGATTTATGTTGTTTTTCTCATCGCCTACCTCATCACTAAAATAATAGCAGATAGTAAAATAGTAATAATATGAAATTATTCAAAATAATTTGAAATGATAAGAGGATCAATTTCCTATCATATTCAATAATGCGATGATCGATCACTGTAATACATAGAACAGTGAAGTGCTAGCTGCAAAAGAGACACGTGTACCCATATAAGCCTGTGGTAGTGCTCTGCAAACTGGCATGAGCTTATATGGTTTCTCTGTAACATTTTCCTTGAACTTAGGGAGAGTTCACAGCTCTGCAGGAGGTCTTGAGCAAGCGCAAACGCAACACATTTAAGACAGGGTGGAACTAGAATTGATAGAAGAGCAGAAGTAGTTCGGCTAGCCTTTTCACAGCACTTGATACCAGGCTCTCCACAGGATAGTGGCTCAATGTTGAGAGCAAAGGTAATTTTTTTTAAATGACTTTGTCAGGGACTATGGGTTTTGTGATCAGAGGGGTGGGTGAGGAGATTTCGGTGCTGATAATGGGGGTCTTTGGAGTCAGAATAGAGACTTGTTCTAATTTGAGTCGAATGCTCCAGTCGGTAATTTCCGTCTTTCTTGTCTCATATTCTCATCTTGGAGTTCCATCTAAGGCCACAGTTGGGTATGCATTATTTCCGTTCTTGTTACGTTCTAACTGTTTGCAAATTTCTGTTAGTTTTCTTTTTATTAAGAGTTATTTAGACGCGCCTTTTCAATTTTAAAAAGTTAAGCATTTTATTAATTTCTAATGCAACTTATCTGCGCCATGTGTGATACTTATTCATTGGAATATGTTTAGACTCCTTTAAGGCTAAGACTACGGTTTTATTAATATTACATTTCTAGCTTGAAAATAGTATGAGCTCCTCAGTTGGTAACTGTCTTATTGAAAATGGGTATATTCTTTCGGTGTGTATGCATACACATATTTTTTAAAAATGTGTATATTTATATATTTTACTTGGCGTTACTGGGTACTGGTAGGAGTACGTTTCAGAATATTGTAAAGTTGTTCTAGGTGAGTGAGTCACGGCAAACACAGCACAGCCTGGCATATGCAAGCGGGGAGGAGGGACAGGGCTTGGCACAGCATAATACGCAGAGAGTAAGGCAGAACTGGCTACATGCGGAATGGGGGAGGGGCATATGAGGCTGCGCTTCTGGGAAGGGGGCAGGGCCTGGCACGGGACAGGGCTGGGTATGCCCTGGTGCAGTGTATCGGTGCCACAGGGCTGGGAACGTAAAGCAAGACAGAATGTGTTCCAGAGGCACGGTCAAGCAGACAGGGCCTGGAGAGACTAGGAACGCAAGTAGGCAGAGCATGTCTGAGCGGCAGGGCCATGTATGTTTGGGTGGGCTGGGCAGAGGTGGCTTGACTGGGACCATGGTGCAGGACAAGCAGGTAGTAGGTGTGTTCTGGAGGGTGGGGCAGGGCAGGCTCAGCCAAGCAAGTGTAAGGGGGTGGAGTCTAGCTTTTCTGGGCAGATAGGCAGGGCCATATGCATTTAGGTGGGCAAAATGGGGCCAGGTGGACCAGCCAGATGTATCTGGATAAGGCGGGAAAGCAGGACCAGATAGTGCCAGTCATTCCCAGGCAGGCAAGACCTAGTGTATCCAGGCAGGTACAGTGGGCCCCCAACACATTGGCTAGAAGGTGAAGCCAGGAGTGTTAGACAAGGGTAAGCCTGTCCCCATCCACTTAGTACTGACCCAGAGCTCTCTTCCCACCAACACAGGAACCCTATTTGTAATCTCTGGTCTCTGGTGAGTCCAGGACACAGGGTGGATGGGGAAGTGGAGCTGGTGTGAGGGTCTGCCCCTCAGCACTTGCCTATAATATCTTCAGAGACCTTGCCATGGTCCCACTGGCAACTGCCCACTCAACCACAGTTGCCTCAACTGCAGAAGTCCACACTATCCCAGAAGTACAGATGGCGACAGTGCCATTGGAAGTAAAGGAAGCACCTCAGACAACAGCCACACCCCAGCTGTTGTCTAAAAAGGACTTGCCTCAGGAGTGAAACCTATACTGGGACTTTTGCATAGGGGACTTTTGGCAATCAAAGTTTGATGAGTGTATGGCAGGGCCCCTGGGTAGAAGGATGGAGACATTGAAGACAGAAGGATGGCCAGCAATGAGGAGAGAAGAGGTAGGGAGCATCCAAAGACCAATTAAGAAACAAGTTGGGAAGACCTGTCAGCATTTTCGTGGCCTGCAGCCCTGAATGAGTGACACTGAGGAGTTCCTGTTCCTGGATCTTGCACTGCAGAAGCAGACAGGAAATGTGAAGAAAATGGAGAATTTGAAGAAAAAAGTGGAGTGGAAAGTGACAGAAATGGTGGAATGGGGGGCATGGAAATAGAGGTCAGGAGCAGAATGCAGGGCAGGGATGCAGGGTTAGGGGACTGATATTGACTCCCCTACCACTACCCTGACTACTCTTGTCCCACAGAAGAAGAAGCAGAGGCAGAAGCAGAAGTTCATGGAAGAGTGGAAACATCCAGAGCAGATGGATGCCAAAGACCCAGCCTCACTGCAGCAGTGCCTGGGACCTGGCTGTGTCTATCCTACCCGGCCAGGCTCCAAATACTGTTCAGATGACTGTGGCATGAAGCTGGCAGCTAAGTGAGTGGACCTGGGGGTTAAGCAACAAGATTTGGAGTAGGGCATGATCCATGCCATCTGTAAATCCATCCACTCTCTACCCATTCATCCACCATTCATCCACCCACTCACTCTTACAGCCACCCACCCACTGAACCATCCATTCACATTCCATCTACCAGCCCACTTATCCACCCTTATAGTCATTTACCCACCCAGCCATCTACCTACCCATCCACCATTCAATCACCCATTCACCAGCATTCACTAATCTACCATTTATTCTGTATATTCACCATTTGGTCACTTATCCATTTCTTTTATTACTTCCACCTACCCATTCCCCTTCCAGTCGCATCTATAAGATCCTGCCCCAGCGCATTGAACAGTGGAAGAAGAGCCCCTGCATTGCTGAGGAGCATGGCAAGAAAATGCTCGAGCGCATCCACCGTGAGCAGCAGGACACCCAAACCCACCTGAAGAACATGGAACGTCATTTCCACGAACTTGAGGCCATCATTCTGCGTGGCAAGCAGCAGGCGGTGTGCAATGATGAGGAGGTGAGTGGGAATAGGTGGGGTGTAGCAGAAAGGTATCTGCCCATCCTACTCTGCATTGCTTCACTGACTCCTCCACTGTCCTGTGCAGAGCACCAAAGGTGGTAGGGGCAGCGGCTGTCTACAGATCTTCTGTGTCTCCTGTGGGCAACCCACCAGTATGCATGCTGCCCTGCGTCACATGGAGCGCTGCTTCACCAAGGTTGGATCATTGGCAAGGGGCAGATGGGGCAAGGATGCTTTTGGCTGGGTACAGTTCATGGTGAGGGGGCAGGTTTGGTGCTTGGGTGTTTGTTGTAGAAGGGAATAAAACATAACATCCATGGCTCTACCCATTTGTGCTTTTCTTGTAACCCAGTATGAGGGTGAAGATTGGGACATCAGCCAATGGTGGCGGTGGTGGTGGGGGCACTGGCTGGGCAGACAGGAGCAAAAGGTCCACAGGGGACAAATGTGTTATTTGGCTTTGTCATGAGAAAGCATGCAGTGTACACCCAGTTTCTCCCATTTGTAATCTTTTTTTCCCCCACCAGTATGAGTGCAAATCGTCCTTCGGGTCCTCGTACCCCACTTGCATTGAGGGGTGAGTGTGGGTGCTAGTCAGTGTCAAAGGCATGATGTGGACAGGGTCAAGAGCCGGTGGGCAAGATCAGAGGCAGGATGTGGGTGGGCTCAGGCCAAAGTGCGTGTGTTAAGGGCATGGTATCGGAGAGGTTGAGGGAGTGTTGGCAGGGTTCAGGGTGAGACCTCCCTCCTCCTGACCCTTAGCACCTCACTTTCAAACTCTTCCCAGGGCTACGAGGCTCTTCTGTGACATTTATGATCCACAGAGTAAGAGATACTGTAAGCGGCTCCAGGTGCTATGTCCTGAGCATTCGACGGACCCCAAGGTAAGACTCTTCTTTCCGTACCTCACCATTCTCCATTCTTTCCTTCTTTGCCTGACCAACCTATTCCTCTCTTCCTCCCTGCTTGACTGACTGTTTCTTTCTTCCTTCTGCATGACTGCCTTCATACCTCTTGATCAACCCCTATGTATTCCCTCCTCCCTTTCTGACCACCCCACATTCCCTCCTCCTCACTGCCCAATCACCTTCTATTCTTTTCTTTCCTCTGCCTGACTGCTGTTTATTCATACCCTTCTTGCTTGACTTTACTCCACATTTCTCTCTCTATGCCCGTTCACCCTCTATTCCTCTGCTCTTCACTGCATAATTATTCCCCATTCTTCTCTTTTCCTTGCTTGACCATTCTCCATTCCTTTCCCACCCCCTGACCGACTGCCCTACATTCCTCCCTTCCTCTCTGTACGGCCACCTTCAAATCCTCACTTCTTCACTCTCTGACTTCCCTCCATTCTTATTCTTCCTGCCTCACTGCCCCAATGATCTTGTCCCTGTCATCTCCTAAATCTTTTCTTCCTCCTTGTTTAACCAGCCCCCATCCTTCCCACCCCCTCTGCCTCATTCTTCACCTCCTCCACACCTTACCAACCCTCATCCATCTACTTTTCTTTGTCAGACCTCCCCTCCACCCTTCCTTTCCTTCTTGTTTGATTTCTGTATTCTTCTGTCCTTCCTGCCCAATCATCTCCACTCTTCCATTGCTGCTTAACTTCTTCCTTCATGCTTGATCATACCTTTTTGCCCCCTCTCTTTACTTAATCAGTGAATTCCTCTCTTCCTCCCTGCTAGGTCACTCCCCATTTCTCTCCTTCCTTCCTGACTGCCCTCCATTTCCCTATTCCTCTTATCATGCCTGCCTGGTCACCCTCCATTGCTATCTTCCTCCGTACCTCATCATCCTTTATTCTTCCCCACAGGTACCAGATGATGAGGTATGTGGTTGCCCACTAGTGCACAATGTCTTTGAACTCACTGATAATTTCTGTCACCTCCCCAAACGTTTGTGCAACCACCACTACTGCTGGGAGAAGCTGAGGCGTGCTGAGGTGGACCTAGAACGCGTGCGTGCGGTAGGCTACAATGCTGAGTGGGGCTGAGGGGCGGGATAGGACCCCAGAATCCCCTTTTCATGCTCATCTCCCACAGTTGCAGAAGCTGGAAGAGCTGAATGAGCAAGAGCACAAGGTACGCACATCTATGATGAACCGGGCAGGTCTGGTGGCCCTGATGCTTCATCAGACAATCCAGCATGACCCACTCACTACCGACTTGCGCTCCAGAGTAGACAGCTGAGCCCTGTTCGACTGAGGTCCTATATCTGACACCCTGTGCAAGGGAGAAACTCCATTAATTCCTCACACACATGTTTCTTTAGCCAGTTCTTTCTTAGGGCATCTCAGAGTGTCTCTGTGCTTTTCTGTTCACCATTTGGTTTCCTATATTTGCCTGCCTCTCTTTGGGAGAGGGGTCCTCAAAATTCTCCTGTTTTCATCTATTCCTCCTTGAGCCTGGGAGAGGCCAGGGGATCTTCCCTGCTCTCATCTCTCATTGCCCAGAGTTTTGTTAATAAACTTTGGAAGAACAAGGCTTTTAATATCCACTGATGGCCCCTAAACCCATCTCTCTGGCCACAAACCCAATTCCAAACCTCCAATGACGGTGGGTGACGATGCAACCACATTTAGGAGTAGGCTTTATTGCCCATGCAGGGGTGGCTGTGAAGTGATGCCCACTCAGTGCTCCATGGGCTTCTGTCAGGGGATATGAGACTTTACAAAGGGGATCCAGCAGTCCTGACCCTTGTTCCTTATAGTCCCTCATCCCAGGCCATCAGGTTGGTGCTTGATTAGTGCACAGCCAACTCACCAACTTCTGTATAATTGTTAATATTCCTGAGTCCAGAGATGTTGGGAAAATGTTGGGATGGGGGATAGGGGAATGTGGGATAGTCCTTCCTGATAATTCCACTTTGGGATACTGAGGAGCATTCAAGGTGTCATGGCAATAATGCCCTGCTTCCACCCACCTTGTTCTATCCTTGACCATCCCATGAGGTCTCAGCCCTTTCTGTTAGCCTTGACCACTGCCAGTCCAGTCCTGGTCTATATGTCTCTCCCTCATCCCTGTCCATCATATTCTGTCCTCCTCTGCCAACACCCTGCTCTGGATATCCTTTCCAGCCTTCCCTGTCCATTGAGTCCTTGTGCGGCCATGTCCATTTCACACTTATAGAGTTGCTAGCAGGGGACTGGGACTTCTACTATATCTGCCTTTGCAAACCCTTGCCAGTTCTCCTGTTGTCAGTGGAGGTGTGTCTGGTAATGCTGCCTGTGGTACTGGTATGTCTCAAATGATAGACTTGGTCCCTTACGAGCTTTTACATTAATTTTCACAATTATGTTTTCCCTACTTATATATTTCGCCTAAATGTTTAAGTTTGTTGCTCTAGACTTATGCCTCACATTGCACTATAAGTAGTTTATATTACTAACTATCTGGTGCAACATTTCCTTTTTTATTATGAATATATAATTTTCCCTTTCAATTTGATCAGTTGTACAGGTGTACAACATTATAATACGACATCTGTATACTCTATTGTGTGCTCAACATCCAAAGTCTAGTCCCCTTCCATCACCAGATATTTGACCCCTTTTACCTCTTCATTCTCCCCCCACCTCACCCCTCTGGTAACCACCATTCTGTTGTCTCTACCTGAGTTTCTCTTTTATTTGTTTTGTTTGTTTGATTGTTGCTTTTTGTTTTATATTCCACATATGAGTAAAATCCAAACTCCTAACTCAATTATTTTTGGTTTTCCAGTTTCTTTTGTAGTAATGGATTTGAGGCTATACAATTTCCTCTGACTATAGCTGTATCTCATAAACTCTGGAATGAAAAAATGCAACTTCAGAATTGATTTCTCACTTTGATCCTAGCTATTGAGAAAAGTTTCTTAGTTTCTAACTGATTAAGGTAGTTTGACTTTCTTTTCTTTCTTTTTTTTGTAATATGGTTTTAATAGGATCAGAGAACGTAGCTTGTTGAATATGAACTTGTAAACATTAGTCAAGATTTTCTTTGTGGCCTGGATACTCAATTGAATTTTGCAAAACCTTAATGGATACAAGAGAAGAAACTATATGCTCTGTTAAATACAGATTACTCATTAGGACTTCTTATTTTTAAAAACAAGTTTATTGGGGTGACATTGGTTAATAAAATTATATAGGTTTCAAGTGTAACACTCAGTATTAAGGTTTCTTTACGCTGTTTTGTTATTTTTGTCTACTTCAGCTACTGTATTATCAAAGATACAATAAATGTTTTATTTTAAATAAATTTCTCCTTGTGGCTCTGTGTTTTTTGGGGGAATTGAGGAGATCATAAAGTGTATTATCTTAGGCCATTTTGCACAGTGCCATTAATGAATTTTCTTTGTTCTCTCTGTCGATCTATATTTCAGGGATAGAGTAAAGAGGCATATTTGAGAATCAATACATCTCTTCCTTTCATTTTAATTTTATTTTTTATTAATTAATTTATTTTTTTATGGTGACATTGATTAACAAAATTCCATAAGTTTCAGCTTCACACTTTGACAGTAAGGCACATATATATTTACACTGTGTGTTCACCTCCCATAGTTAGATTTCTTTCTGTCACCACATGTTTGACCCCCTTTACCCCGTCTACCTCTCCCCTCCCCCTTTCTATTCCCCCTATCCTCTGGTAACTACTAGTCTACTGTCAATGTCCATGAGTCTCTGTTCGTTTGACCTGTTCGTATGTGGCTTTTAGATTTATATCCCACGTATAAGTGATATCATGTGGATTTCAACTATTTCTGTCTGGGTTATTTCGCTTACCATGATTATCTCGCGGTCCATCCATGTTGTCGCAAATGGCAGTATTTCATCTCTTCTTATGGCTGAGTAATATTCCATTGTATATATGTACCACAGATTCTTTACCCATTCATCTACCACAGGACACTTCCATTGCTCCCACGTCCTAGCCACCGTGAATAATGCTGCTATGAACATCGGTGTGCAAATATCATTATGGATATGAGTTTTCAAGTCTTTGGGGTAAATACCCAGTAGATAGATTGCTGGATCATATGGTAGATCAATTCTTAGTTTTTTGAGGAACCTCCATACTGTTTCCATAGTGGCTGTACCAATTTGCAGTCCCACCAGCAGTGTATGAGGGTTCTTCGTTCTCTGCATCCTCTGAAACATCTGTTATTACTTATCCTGTTGATAACAGCTATTCTAACAGGTGCGAGATGATATCCCATTGTGATATTGATTTGCGTTCCCCTAATAGCTAGCGATGTTGAGCATCTTTTCATATAAGTGTTGTCCATTTGTATGTCTTCTAAGGAGAAGTGTCTGTTCAGGTCCTCTGCCCATTTTTTCATTGGATCATTTGTTTTTTTGTTGTTATTGAATTGTATGAGTTCTTTGTACATTTTGGGTATTAGACCCTTATCAAAGGCATTGCTTGCAAATATATTTTCCCATTCAGATGGTTGTCTCTTTACCTTGTTGATGA